TTTTTTTGCAGTACGCGGGCCTCTCACTGCTGTGGCCTCTCCCGCCGCGGAGCACAGGCTCTGGATGCGCAGGCCCAGCGGCCACGGCTCACGGGCCCAGCCGCTCCGCGGCACGCGGGATCCTCCCGGACCGGGGCACGAACCCGTGTCTCCTGCATCGGCAGGCGGACTCCCAACCGCTGCGCCACCAGGGAAGCCCGGCAGGCAGATTCTTAACCACTGAGCCACGAGGGAAGTCCTCTGTGTGTGCATTTTGTCAAGAATGGCTGCTTTCTAAAGACAAACACACTTCAGGTCAAGCGGCTTGGAGACTGGACTTGGAAATATGAAAGACGTTTCAAAGGCAAAAATGCACTGCTTACATGGTGTGCTGAGTGTCTTCAGTGGACAGATGGGAGTCTTAGAAGCAATATGGAGCGTTGGTCCCTGTGGTTGAATGTGCCAAGGCAGTGGGATGAGCTCCCTTGCTGGGTGTACATCTGGTGGCCTGGGGCCCAGGAAAGAGGGTCTGCCCCTATCTTAAGTCATCCTTGAGACTCAGATACATTAGAGATCTCACTCTAGAACTGTGTTGTTCTGATTAAGGGAGTGAGATGGATGTTGGGAGGTTGCCCAAAAACAAGTCTACTTGTATGCATTCTAGTATGTGACGTGTGATACAGCCTCCTACCTTAAATTGTTGTGTTGTGACACAGCACCTGGGAGGGGTGTGTGCCCTCAGTGGACAGTGGTGGGGCTGAGCTCCTGGCCACTATCACTTCCAGGTTAGCTCTCTTGTTTCCGCTGTTGGGATACACGGTTAACGCCACCAGTCACTTAGTGCCGCCTTTCAGCAGCCGCAATCCCTGCTGTTTTGGGGATTTGCCCCAAGGAGATTTTAGTCACAGCTCCTTGAACTGCGGGAGGAAAGGCTGGAATTTTATAGACACTGCCAGCCGGTGACAGGCCTTCTGGGCTTTGGGAGGGTGGGGGCTGTCTCCGAGGAGAGGAGGCTGGACAAGGGCTCTTCCGGGCCGCACTCAAGTCAGGCTCCTCTGAGCACCTTTTCAAGGAGGCCCGGGCTCTGGGGAGCCTTACATCAGCCTCACCAGAACCCCACCCTCAACATCTGACCACCCCTGAAATCTGACCAAATTCCTCATCCCTCGCCCCCCAGGTGATGTATACCCAATCAGCCTGGCCCGCCTTCAGCCAGAAATCCCGTCACCCTTGATGATTCCTCTTAGCAATTTTCCACCTATTTGCCTTCATCCTGCTCTTTGACTCTAAATGACCACTTTTCTTTGTATCCGGAGTTGAGCCCAGTCTCTCCCCTGCTACAAAACCCCTTTGCAGTGGGCCCTGTACGATCACAACAGTCCTGAGTAAGTCTGCCTCACCATTTTAACAAGTAGCAGAAGGGTTTCTTTCTTTAACACGTGGATGAATTAGTGGCTGCGTAGCAAGTGCGACTGGGAAGTTGCTGGTGGTTAGCTTCTCCTGTGCTTTGCCATCAAAGGAATCATATTTGTACGTATATAACAGGATAAGCTATTGAAACATTATGTTTTGTCTTGTTCTTTGGGAAATCTGAAAGAATTCCTTTTCCTATCCCCCGAAATGCAGCCACATATCTGCGTCCTAAGGCCTAGATCAAGGATTGCCAAATCTGATTCTTACAAGTAGGTAATGTAAGTTTGTGAAGTGGCCTTATGGCAGCAATAGGGCATAGTGGAGACTGTGGCAGAGAACACAGTCCCATGAAAAGCCATTAGCTCCAATCAGTTAACGGCATGTGGGCACGTAGGCCTGATATTTCCAGAGCACTTGAGTTTTCAATAAACAATTGGGAGCTGGGTTTTTATGTGCAAATTCTAGATTTGTGTGGGTGTGTGTTGGCAAGTAACAAAAGCAAACAGAGTGTGGGGCTAAACAACTCAGAATTTTGCCTTCAGGCGTCTGGTTTGTAATATCTGGCCTGGAGTCCGATTACCCCTCTGGATGGGGGAAGGCAGTTATGAGGCTGAAATCGTCCGGCACCTTCTCTACCACCAGTGAAGGGGAAGGAGGCTGCTGCGTGGACAGGAAGAGAGGAGTGTGACACCCTGGAGAGAGGGTGGATGGCTTGAATTTAGGCCTGTGCGGTTCCCCCCTGGGGGCAGAACTGTGCCTTGTGTACCCACAATGGGTCACCCGAGCCGTGTGCCCTCCAGGAGTAGCCAGCCCGACCTGGAAGCCTTGGCTTGGATCTTCACGCTGATGCTCAGCCAGGAAGAAGTGGACAACCTACCGACATGAGGGCCACGTGGACATGGGCGGGAGCCCCATGTCCGCAGGCCCTTCCTCAGTCCTCTGTTCCTGCTTGAGCCCAGGGCCACGTAGAACGGGGAATTCACAAAGCCCCATCAGGCTGGATTTTCTGCCAGGTTGGTGCCTCAGGGCCAAGACATATTTAATTGATTTAGAAAATAGAGATACAAATACATGCTGGGTATCTTTTTTTTTTTTTTTTTTTTTTTTTGGGGTAGGCGGGCCTCTCACTGTTGTGGCCTCTCCCCTTGCGGAGCACAGGCTCCGGATGCGCAGGCTCAGCGGCCATGGCTCACGGGCCCAGCCGCTCTGCGGCATGTGGGATCTTCCCGGACCGGGGCACGAACCCGTGTCCCCTGCATCGGCAGGTGGACTCTCAACCACTGCGCCACCAGGGAAGCCCATGGGTATCTTTTTGTTTGTTTGTTTTGTGGATTTTTTTGGGGGGGGGCTTCCTTTTTTAAAAATTGAAGTGTGGTTGATTTACGATGTTTCAGGTATAGAGCAAAGTGATTCAGATCTATATCTAGATGTATATATACATATACATGTTCTTTTTCAGATGCTTTTCCATTATATGTTATTACAGGATATTGAATGTAGTTCCCTGTGTTCTACAGTAAGTCCTTGTTGTGGCTTATCTATTGTATATATAGTGGGGTGTATCTGTTAACCCAAAATTCCGTCCACCCCTTTCTCCTCTGGTAACCATAAGTTTGTTTTCTATGTCTCTACTTCTGTTTTGTAAATAAATTCAATTGTATCACTTTTCTAGACTCCACATATAAGGGATGTCGTATGGTATTTGTCCTTCTCTGTCTGGCTTACTTCACTTAGTACGATCATCTCTTGGTCCATCCAGGTTGCTGCATGCCGGGT